TCTTTCCTTCCATCTGCAGAATTAATTTCAATATTGTCTCTGGGGCTCATCTCCATTCAAGCATCTTGCATAGCTGCTAGAGACAGAGGAGTGCAGAGGCAAAGCTCTGCTGGAGACCTGGGTCTGGCATTTTGCCCTGAACACACGGAGGCTCTGGACACTCCCATTTCTTGTGATGGAGCATCCTGCCGCCCATGTCCAGGTCTTGGGAAAACCTTCAATTGCCAGATTTGAAGTCAGGAAGGAATTTTACCCCATGGCGAGATTGGTATGGACTGTGGGGTTTTTTACCTTCCTCTGTAGCAGGGTGCATAGCCCTCCATCTGGGATCCCTTGCAACAGCCTTTTCTAGAAGTGGGACACTGGCTGCCGTGTTCCCCCTGCTTTCCCTAGGGCAAGTTCAGGGGTCACATCTTGTGTTATGTCAGGTTGATGGTAGTTTTGCTAAGAGGTTAGATTATGGATTTGGGCAGGATGGTTTGGATGGGGACAATCCTGGCTCTGGAGCTTCTCCACACTTCTACGATTCAGTCTCCCAGGATCAGGACTCCTCTACGACAAACAGCTCTGCTTTTCCAGGGGAACGAAGAGCACTCACCATCTCTGAGCACAGCCGGGGCCCTGGGAAAACATGCTATGCACTTACCCTGCTCCTTAACTGCAGCAGCAGCTGACCTTGAGCTTTCTGCATTTCATTAAGTCTTGCTACTCAGAGCACTTTATACCTCTAATAGCACCCAAGCTGACAGGACTTAGCTCAGGGCTGCTATTAGAAGCCTTGATTTGGCGAAACCAATTGACCGTTGTTAATTATGCAAGAAAACAAGTACAATTACATCGAAGCAGAAAGGGGGGGGGGGGACTGACGAGCTCTTATGCCGTCAAGTGGCTTATGCACTTCAGGTATGCAGAGAACTGATACTCGTTTCAATGTGAGCAACAGGCAACACACTGCAACTAGCAACGCAGTACGAGGTTAAGTGAACGGTGCATTTATCCAACAGGCCCCTGACTCGAGCAGCTGTCAGTCACAGAACAGACACTTGCTCAGGTAAGTCAGGGTATTCCCAATGACCGGAGGCTCATGAATTTAGAGGGTGTTTTTGTTTGTTTGTTTTTTAAGGCAAAAGGGCTTCATTCAGAGCAGAGCTGCGATTGACCCCGCAGAAGTATACGGATCATCCTGTCTAATTCACAGCCTACAATGGAAGTGGGGCTGTTTTGCTTCCGTGGCTCTATGAGGATTTGATGAACTGACATCTCTCAAGACCTCAGATCAAACTGACACATCGAGGTGGAAGGACAGCCCAGTGGTTAATGCACTTGCCTCCAAATTAGTAAACCTGGGTTCAAGTCTCAGTTTTATAAGCTTCTCGTGTCTGTGAGCAACAGTTATCTGCTTAAGACACAAATTACAGCAGTGTCCAGCTTCACAAGAGGGAGGGTCAAAGATAAGTCCATCCATGAAGTGCCTGGATACTGCAGGAACAAGTACTTAAGACAGTCTAGCCAAGGACAGATGCCCAACATGTATTGCAGGGATCAGACAAGCGGCCTACAAACCAGCTCACAGGCTTGACACACAGCTCTGCGGCATCACTTCTTCCTTCCACCCCATAAATTAACTCTGTCTTGATCAACAGTCCTGCCTGAACAAAATTTGTTTCAGGATTAAACAGATCCCAGCTGCTAACATCCACAACACGTGAAACGTGACTTGCAAGGCATTTCAGTATTGCCAACCCTCATGATTTTGGGCATTTCTCTTTGGGAACATGAAAAATGTAGCTCTTTCTTTTATATATAAGAAAAAACTAAGTTTTTCACATTCCCGAAATGGAGACTTTAAGAACAATGCCAACAATCATGAGGGTTGGCAATAAGGGTATTTTCAATTCAAACCAAGGGCACGCAAGGCCAGGGAGGAATTCTTCCGAGATCCACCCAGCTCTTCTTCGCTTGCCATTCCCCACCCAAGAGACAGCTGCAGATAATGTGCAAGCAGGCTATTTTTACCTTTTCTCTTCTGCTTTTTCTTCCTTGTCCTGCTTCCTCTTTGTGCTGGAAGTCTCTGGATTCTCGGTTACTTTGTGATGCTAGAGTTTCAACAGGAAATAAAGCGTCACACCAGCAAGCCGCTAACAAATTAGCCCTCGACACCATTAAGAGGATGTCAAAGCTGAGGAGAGGAACATCCTGGTGATATACATCAGGAGCACCTTTCTTCTCCCCAACACCAACTCTCCCACACCGTTGCCCAAAGCGCCCCTGGTCTTCTAGTTGCAAATTTGCTCATGTCTCCCCAGCTAAGGGAAGGCACAATGGAGTCAGGGCTCTGGCTAGCACCAAACTGCAGTATTTCCCCGAGTGAGGGTGAAGTGCGGCCATTCTCTGGACATTTTCTTCACTGCAATACTGCATTACAGCCCCTCTGGCTTTCAATAATGCCTTGAGCTCTTTCCAACCACCACCTCACTTCACTGTACCTTCCCCCAACCCCTGGTACCTCCATTTCCGTTCCCCATCGTGATGCACTGAGGAGTATCTGTCCTGTAACTCAGCTACCCGAACGGTCCCAGCCACCCCAGCCTTGTAGCGAGAGGCTCAATAGCTTAGCTCACACTTCTCATATACATGCCATGGGAATGGCTGCTTCGGACCCCTGAAGGCTGGGCTGGTAACTGGGGATTTGACTCATTGCACAGGTAAGAGGCAGAGCTGCAGACTCTAAACATTTAGGTCCAAACCCAAAGTTCACAGAGGTGAGGACGACCAGGTCAGGTTCTTCTCCATTATCCCCCACCAGTACACCACCCAGCTCTCAGGAAGCATCCAGTTAAACAGCAGAAGATCATGGGGACAGGATCACCTCCTCTGCCACAGACTACCCCCCTGACCTCAGGCAGGTCACTTAGGCCAAGCCTACACTGATATTTAGGATCAACCTTGAGGTCATGTGAGGCACCTCCTTCTTATCTATATCAGACTTGGTCGCCACACCAGTGTCACAGGTTGCTCTTCTTCTGGGAGCACAGCACTAAGATGCATCCTAGCTTTTCTCGTGGTGTCCTTCTAGGAATCGGCCTGTAGATGGTTTGTCTCTACTCAGGAGCAATAGAAAAGGGGCACTGAGGTGCAGGAGAGGTGGAAGAGAGGAGCAGGGAATTGTGACATTGCTGCTAAAGCACTTCCTGGGCTCAAGGCCTACGTCAGTTCACACCACAGTGCAAGGAGAGCACAGGCCAAGAGATGAGAGGGAGTGGGGGTGCCAGCCTCATACCCAGTATCTCAGCAGAGCTTCCAGGCTCAGGTTAAACTGCTGTTGAGATCAAGGAAAAGGGTTCACGGTGTGGATAGTGGCAGGTACGCGCTTAAGGATCTAACGGGCAGACACAGCCTTAGCTCCCTATGCCTCACCCCCCCAGTCTGTAAAATGGAGGCAATCTTATATGCTTGCAGCACTCCTGCAAGGTACAGAACTACACTGCAATCATAACATGCTCAGAGGTTAAGGGGACATGGGCCCACATAGAGCCCACATCGGCATGGGGACAGATTAGTCCCGAAACAAAAGCACTCCCAAAACATGAGCTAAGTGAAACCAATCCCACAAGACTGGCTTAGGTGGGGGGACACCACAAAGCAAGGATCGTACCTCTCCCAAGCACCCAGCATCCCAGCCCCAAGGAGTAAGCCATCACCCAGAGTCCGGAGAGACTCACCGTGAACACAGAAAGCCCCAGCTTGGCAGCCTCTTTGTCTTCTCTGGAAAGCGTCATTCTGCCGGAACAGCCACTGGAAATCAGAGCAACACCACGTGGGCACTTAGAGGCGACGTTCTCTGGCGCACGTGCACAACTACAGCTGAGCAAATGACGTTTTCACAGTGCGGCGGAGGAACGTCCTTGCCTCAGCCCAGACTTGGGAGCCCAGCGTCCCCGAAGTCTGTTCCCAACCCTGCCACAGAGTTACCGCAGGATCTTGGCACAACCCTTTAATCTCTGCCACCCCTACGTCTCCTTTGGGGATCACTTCGCTTAAGAGGGTGGGTTGCAAGGATTCAATGATGGTAATAAATCACTCTGGAACCCCATAAAAAAAGGGCACAGCACTATTGCTATCCCACAAGATCGCCCAGAAATGGCCAGACAAACGGGTCCTCTCTGTTTCTTTAGACTCCTCTTGTACTACATGAAGCATTGAGTTTTGTTTCCATCCTTACCAGGTTAGGGCTCTATGGATGTACAACAACCTGCAGAGTACGTCTCTACCTACACGGCGCTTTGGACTTCACAATATGCTACTCAGATGCTCTTCCCTTTGCTGGAGAAAGATGTGACCTGCTTCCGTAGAGGGAAGCTGCTGATTGGTCTGTTCTAATTAACTTACTACATCACATCACTTCCTATTTGGCATGTGTGTTCTGGGGGCCAACAGGATGATTCATGGTCTGCTACCCTAGTGGTAATAGAGGACAACAAAAGGGCAACAGGGAGAGAAACCTGCAGAGGATTCGGGGAGCAGAGAGCTGCAGGAGCAAAACATCTGCCAACTGAGGGCCGCCAGAGATCGTGTTAGACGGGAGCGGTTTCAAGAACAGGGGAAAGCACTGCAGTTTCCTCCTCGTAGAGGACATCCCCCCCCCTTGAGCTCCCCAGCCCCACCACACGATCCACATCCTTATCCTCATGTTCCACTCCGTCGCGCTTACAGACCTCGGCCAGGTCCTGCGGACAGACAGGCGAGAAGGAGCATTACGTCTGTGGAACTGAACAATGAACTGGGCAAGCTGGTAGCACCACCCTCCCTGTGGCAGGAGAGACCAGCGTGACCCCAGACAGGGCATGAAAAGGAGAAGGGGAAATACTCTGGGGCCAAAGAGGCTGCTTGTCACCTCGTTACTCCCATCAACCAAACCTTGCAAAAATCCTCCGGGATAAGCAAGTACCGCAGAGGAAACAGCTGGCCCTCGCCTGATGGAAAGGGCACCGGGTTGAGAATCAGGAGGCTCCGAGTCTAATCCTGGCTGTGACACTGACCTCCAGGGTAGCCTCGACAAACTCCGTTCTCCTCTCCGAGTTATTTAGACTGGGAGATTTGGACGAGGGAGCGATTCTCATTCAGTGCAGAGCCCTGATCTCAACTGGGGTCTCTTGATACTCTGGTAACGTTACCAGAATAGCCTTCAACCACCGTAGAAGCACCAATTCACGGACATTTCAGAAAGCTGGGGAAAAGTCTGCCCCAAATCTTACGTCTTCTTAAAGTGCCTTACTCACAGTTCGCATCCCACGTAGTCAGGGATTGAGAATTAAGCTGCTTGTTTTGCTTGGCCTTAGACAACAGCCAATAAAGCAGAACCAGACCAGCGAGAGTATTCAGGCGTCATCCCACTCGTAAAACAACAGGACTGGAAATAATAGCTTCCCCATAGCAAACGCAGCTCAATTTTCACTCTCCCTGATCCCTAAGTACTGGGCTTCAAAAGCCACCTCACTCCTATTGCCTGGCTCCCTGCTTCCATGCTCAAATCCCATCGTGTCTCGGTGTCTCCAGCCCCACTGCCGTGACGTGGGCTGAAAGCAGCTTTAAACCCCAGCTTTCCCAAGATGCAAACCACATCTCTGTAACGGACCCCCAGGTTTTTGCTGCTGTAATCAGCATTTTTTTGCTCTCTGGACACAGGCTTTGGTGCCAAAAAAAAAGAGGGGGAGTTGACAGCACCACTCCACCCAAGAGCAGCTCCACTGCTAATCTAGAGAACTACAATTCCCAGAATGCCTTGCACCCCAGGATGCTGCCCAGCTCTCTCCTCTCTCCATACTCAGCACCTGCAATTAAGAAGGTGGATGGAGGGGAGAGATGGCTTCCCCAGGAGTACCTTTTCCTGCTAAGCCTCTGTGCTCCTGAAGAGACTGGCTACTCCATCAGTCTGGGACCAGCAGAGAAGCAAGGTGGGGAATCAGGAAGGGTTTGGGTTTTTGGATGCATTTTTTTTTTTTTAAAAGGGGCAGAAACATTTTTTAGGGAGCAATACGTAACTGAGGACCAAGTTACCTTTTCTAGAGACCTGTTTCTGACCCTAAAGGCTGAAACCCCACCCTCACGCCCCAAAGGTGAATCCTTGTAAGCACCAGTCTGTTTAAAGCATTCATTTCAGTATTTTGGCATGCAAAGCCCAGATAGTCTATGCCATCATGAAATGCCATCTTCCCCCCACCGCTTCCCACCAGCACAAAAGTGCCACGTCTCCCAGGGGTGGATGCCCATGTTACCTCTTTGCTCAGGCCGGTGGGGTGTCTCTTCATATTCTTGTAGCCTCTAGAAAGAGTAAAATCCACAATATCATCATTAAAAAAAAGCAAAGCAAAAACAGGTGATGTCAGGCTCCCGTATCACTCGAGAGAGACTCAGTCTGGCGTTGTCATGAACGTACTCCCCATCAGTTCAGCTCTAGGAGATTACCAGGTCAGCAGACCCAGAGACGCCATGAACCACAAGTGCAAGCGGCTCCAGAAACGGAAACATGTCTTTGGTTAAGCATATTTTAGGAATACAGAACTAGAAAGGCCTCCTGGGAGCTCAAGTCCAGATCCCTGCATTCAGATAAGCGCATGCCCTGAGCATCATCCACGTCGAACCCTCTCCTGTCCAGCAGATTCTGCTTCATCGCATATTGGTTATTCACACATTTCGCTTATTTGCCTACTTTCTCTTAGGACAAAAACCACTTGCTCTCTCTTCAATTAGATTTTACTTGCATAGCAGCTTTGGGCACATTTTTGGTTTGTTGCATAAGCCAAAACTAGAAAAAGAAAGGCTAGAATCAGTTCGTTCAGGGGTATCAAATAAATGGCCTGGGAGCTGGACCGACTTTATCTAGGGAGAACTGCCCGAGGCAGAAGCCTGGTGGATGTGGCAATGAGTAGCAGGAAGGCAAATGAGGGCTGACACCTTCCCTCCCTACAGACTAAACACCCACGGAGGAGGGTGGGGCGGAAAGTCGAGGCGACTTCCCAGGCTGCGACAACCAATTCACAACCAGAAACGCGTATTGGAGAACGCAGCTCTGAGTGTGTGGAAGTCACCAGTGCAATACATCCCCCCTGAACTTACAGTGCTGCCATCATGGCCTCCTGTTCGGCCAGCCGGACGGCAGCCAACTCTTCTTCCCGGGACATCTGCACGCCCTCCTTCTTCCCCTTCGCATACCATGTGAGGTCCTTCCCCTTCTGCCACCTTCCCACCGGAGCCATGAGGGAATTCCCTGCCGCAGAAAACGAGAGAGGCCGTCAGCAGAACCAGAACATCCGGCCTGTAAAGACGTCCCTGCCCAGGCAGCAGAACAGAGTCAGATCCACGACTCGGGTCACGTGGGGACCAATCCACTGGGATCAGAGACCTGGGTTCGGTTCCTGGCTCTGCCACTGACCTGCCACGTGACCCTGGCCAAGTCACTTCATCTCTCCACCTCAGCTTCTCCACAAAGAGGGTAGATGCTGTGACCCCCATGGGAAGCGCCCTGGCACATGAGCAAAGAGCTCTACAAGAACCACCCAGCTCCTGCCCTTAGCCAGGCCCAGGGCATCCTGCAGAGGCACCTGTCTGAAGCTGCAAATCTATTCAGCAATATATCCCAACCTCTAAGTTTCCAGTAACAGGTCACTGGGATGGCTCAGGAACCTCCCCTGTAATAGAAACCCAACACAATACCCGAATAACTTACGTTTATATAGCATTGATCGCCACTAAGGATCCACAAAGGGCTTTGTAACTCTATATATGCCGCTGCACTGAAAAGCAGCAAAATCTAGGGTGGAGTGTGGCAACCACGTGACACACAAACGCCCTCACAGATGGCAGAAAAAGGTTGTGTTGGCAACAGGACAAGCCACTAAGCTTCTAAGAGTGGCATTTTATGAACAGGCAACATGTGAGAGCCCATCTGTGCAGTATTTGTATGGCAACTTTCTACTGCTGCAGCCCCCGAAGTGTTTTAGCAGCGTGACTGACAGCCTAAGCCAGATTCGCTTTGCTCACCGATGCTCAGACACCTCTTTGCTTCCTAGGGGAAATGGGACATTCTCCAAACAGTCCTGTTAAAGCAGCTCTTCCCTTGAAGCCCACCACAGATGGCCAGGCTCAGCATGGAAGGCCTGGAGTAGAGTTCCCAGGCCTGTGTTTTGTAGGGCAGACTGGGCGATCACAGCGGACCCACACCAGCCTCAAAGACCTGCAGTGGCCTGTTCAAAGCACAAAGTGCTTGCAAGGTGAGGCAAAGAGCAGAACCCTTTGCAGCCAATGTGAACACCACGAAGAAACACCCCAGCAAGGCAGCGAAGCCTGCAAATGCAGCCAGAACAGCGGTCTCAAAGTGGCTGAGACTTGGGGGTCTTGCAGATACTCACCAGCTGCCAGGGCTGCTGGTCAGGCTGTGACAGAGCGCTGGATTCCCCCAGAGGCTGTAAATAATCATGGGATCTCCCCTTACCCAGATAGTTCTCCCGCTGCTTATCCGTCTTCACATCCTCCCAGTTGAACTGGTCCTGTCCCCCCCTCACACCTCCGCGGGATGAGCCGAACATGGCGCGAACGGCCAGCAGCGATGGGTCAATCGGAGATCACCGCCAGGTGCCCAGATGCTCAACCCAAGGCACTGCAGCTAAAAGACAAGCAGGAGGATTACAAGCCCCAGCCCAGCCTCAGCATCCTCTGTGAGGAGCAAAAGGCTAGTTTCCCTAGAAAAAAAGCCACCCCAGATAACAAGCCACACTCCCTGCACCTTGCACAGGGGCTGCCTGCTCCTACACCGGAGCATTTCAGCGACTGCCCCGTCTCTGGGTCAGGTACCAGGAGGAGTAAATGAGCATGTTCTTCCCCTGCCCGCTCCCCTCCCTCCATACGCAGAAGTGGCTAAAGTTGGCCACTGCAAGCAAAGCTTTCCTAGGGAGAGCTTTCTGCAACAAGGGGCCTGGCCCTGGGCTCACTCTGGCAGGAAACAGTCTCCCCCTGCGTTGAACCCAGCCCCCCCCCAAAAGGCCGGCCAGCCTCGCCCCAGTCCTGCAGAAGTGCTCAAGTGAGACATCCCAGGCCTTTCACCGCCACGACACGAGACGCCGCGTGTCGCAGGACACGGAGATCACGCAGCACACCCGAATCGTGGTCCTCCGAACACCGCATCCTTCTGCTGACGGCTCCAGCTTCAGGAGGGGCGGGCTACCCCTCCCCCCAGTGCCCTGCGGGGCTTTTTGTGGGTGCACATGAGCAAGGCAACCTCTCCCTGCTCCCTGGGGCAACGGGCTCATGCCCAGAAGTGCCAGCTTGGATCCCCCTCATGCGTGTTTTTACACAGCAGCACCGTGCACACACCAGCACGCTGCTCCCCCCAGCCCCAGAGCTCCCCAGCAGATCAGGGCACTACAGAGAGGCAGAAGCCAAGCCCCACTTCCCTCCCACCCCCTGCAGGATCATTGCCCTGCATCCCTGCTGGAAGGGGGAACAACCCAGGAGGGTGATCAGCTGCTAGGGGCTTTCCTGCCGGGCCCGGGGCGAGCTCGCCCCGCCCAGCCCAGGCCCACTCCCACTCCCCTGCTTACCCGCAAGGCGCTGCCCGCAGCCGCAGACCCGGACCGCCCCGCCCCCACGTGCTCCGAACGCCTGCACCACTGTTGCAAGCGGCTTCCGGCTGGTTCGGAACATACCACTGCGCTCAGCCCGCGGGGGGATAGAATGGAGCAACCCGGAAGGAAGCGCGGCGCCCGCCTGCCGTTGGCTGGGCACCGAGCGCTCCCCCCCCCCCCCCCTTCGGGGAACGCCGCCCCCCGCCCTTCGGAGAATGCAGCCGCCCGGACGTGCCATTGTCTCGGGGGATTTAACCCTTTCCCTGGCGGCGGGGAGCAGGCGCACCTTGCTCGTCTCCTCTGTGACCTAGAAGCTGCGCTGGCGCACTAAGTAAGGGCTTGTTGCCTGGGAAACGTGGGCGGCTCTTGGAGCGCTTAAGCCCTGGGTTGTCCACACGGTAACACCCCGGAGCCTTCTTATGCGGTTTAAAGTTACGCCACTCCCAGCAGGATGCTTTCTGATCCGCACAACCCAGCTCCTGTCCCGTTAAGGGGTGGCCGAAGTTGAAGTCCTCCAGTATCCCAGGATCTCTTGCGCTGCCACACATAGAAGCCCGTCCTGGCTCACCCGCCTGCTAGTGGGAACTTGCAGCTGTGGCTCCTAGCCCTGCCCCTGCTCACCCGCTGGCATCATGTTTTCCCCAGAGGCTGCTATATTTTGCAGTAGGGGAAGCCAAGCCATTTCCCCGTTCTGCCGTGGCTTTGAAGTCTCCCGAGATGAAAGGCTCCAAGCGGCCCTGGACCATCCTGCCCTGGTACAGAGAAGTGCATCTTAAACACCCATTTCAAACCACCCCTATGGCTTCCAGTACCTCCTAAGTACAAGATAAGGTGATCGCTCAGCCATGGTTGGTCCCGGGAGTGGCACACTAAGAGAGTTTTCACCTTTTTAAATGATCCATGGGCAGCAAGGTCACTCTCAAAAACAGGGCTAGTAAGATTTTACAGACTCTGAGGGCAGTTGGGATGCTTCAGCCCAGCTCCTAGTTAATTGATTCCTCAACCCACAAAGCCACCAGTACAGGGGCACCAGTTGGCACCTTTCTTGGTTAGCTCAGCAGAAAAACCAAAGACTGAATGCTTCAGGGAGAATGAACTTTCCCGTCATTCCTTGACGTATTGTGGTTTTTTGTCATTGCCCATCCAACCGATCACCAGATAAACAGAGACCTACAGTCTCCAGGGTGGTACCTTTCAAACACACACGCACACACACAATAGGAGCACAAGCAGTTATGGGGTAAAGGATCTTTACTCATGTAAAAACCACCATCCCAGAAGATTGTGTTAGTCTCCTTCAGCACAGTCCCAAATCCTCAGACCTCCTCGCAGATCCTCCGAACAAGCCCTCATTTTTTCTTCCAGAATTCCTTGTAACGATCCATATTAAAGTCATCCTCAAGCAGTCTCTCCTGCTTGATTTGGAGCTTGCCGCGATCACGTTTCCTTAACCGGGCTCTTCTTTCAGCCTCAGGAAGAGTGTTGAGGTCTACAGGCATCTGAGAAGGAAAGGGGGAGGGGGGATAGAAAAAAAATTAATCAACAATAGAACAAAGAGAAGAAGGTCGATCTAGAACAGAGCTCCAAGGACTCTGTCACGTCCAAAAGGAGAAAGGCGAGATGTCATCAAGAGATTTTGCTCCAAAAAAAATCAATGGCCACGCAGTTTTATAGAACGCTGCGAGTTGGATCTCACTGCCCGAAGTGGGCTCATTGGTTTGAGAAGGATGCACAAGTCACTCTGCATTCATCTGTTACCCAAGGGATTTAAGGAGGCATTAGTGCAGGCGTGGGCAAAATACAGCCCGTGAGCCAGATCTGGCCCACCAGCTGATTGGATCCAGCCTGTGAGGGGTGACCCCCAATTGATTGGATCCAGCCTGTGGCTGCCCCTGTGGTACTCCACATGGAGCCAAGCCTGGTGCAGGGAAGCCAGCAATGCACTTCTGCCTGCACCCGCCAACCCCAGGCAGTGCACACAGCTTCCGGGAGGACTGCTCCTGGTGCCTGGAAGCCATCACCTCCAGCAGCAGCTCCTCCCTCTGCTCTCGCTGCAGTGGACCTGGTGGAAGGCAGCTGGGAGCCAAAGCCCCGCATGCTGGGGCAGGAGCTGCCTGGTTGCAGCTTCTCCCCTGCTGGGAACAGTACAGCAGGGAGAGGTGTTGCCACTGGAGGTGAAGGGAGCTGCCACACCAGAAGAAGCCCTGCCAGTAAGCTGTGCCTGCTGGCCAGGACCAGGATGGTGGGTGCGGGTGGCTGCCTGCGTAGGCTCAGCCCCATGCAGAGTCGGAGAGTAGTAGCTATGGACTGCACCACCCGGGCAAGCTCTGCTGCATGCATCCCCTGCTCACCCCCTTCCAGCTCCCAGGACCTAGCACCCATGCAGCTTCCCCCACCCCGTACATGCCCCCCCAGCAGATCGCCCATCTCACTCCCTGCCCACAGCCCCATCCCACATAGGGAGTTTTGGTAAGTTGTTGTGCGGGGGTGGGGGGTCTGATGACCCAACCTGTGACAGCTCATCAAAACTCTTTATGTGGCCCACAGACCCAAATAATTGCCCACCCCTGCATTAGTGAAAGCTTCTACCTATCCAACTAGTTGCTGTTTGGGCAACTTTCTTTCTCCAACAGCTCTACAGAAGAAAGAGCTCTGGCTCAGCCTTACCGTCAGAATCCACCTCGGCTCCTTATAGCGAATGTGAACGGTCGATCCATCAGGCCTGATCAGGAGAACTGGGTAGACCCTGCCGTAGGTCTGTCTCCGTATGCTAGTAATGGAAGTCCTGTTGGAGTTGTGCTGGCTGGGGGTTGTGTGCAGACTGCAGATCGTGGGGAGCGACCGCTGGATCAGATCTCCCCGTAACAAGCTATTAAAGGAATTCAAACAGGGCAGGGTTGATG